GCCCGAAGCCACGCCCCCTCCGAGCACCGCGCCAACTCCCGCCCCTCCTCCGAGCGCCAGCCCCCACCCCCCAGCACCGCGCCAACCCCCGCCCCTCCTCCGAGTGCCAGCCCCCCCCAACCCCGCGCCGCACCAGCCCCCGCCCCTCCTCCGAGCGCCAGCCCCCACCCCGCCAGCGCCGCACTGCGCCAGCCCACGCCCAATAAATAAATTAATAAAAACCTGAGCGCCGCCCCGGCCCAAGGTGCCGCCCCAAGCACGTGCTTGGTCGGCTGGTGCCCGGAGCCGGCCCTGGCGATGGATCTGCAAAGCAGGAAACTACAACTCCCATCAGCTCTCTCCACATTGTACATTCCCTTTTCCCTGGCTAGTGGCCATGTATGGGGAAAGGCCCTGAACCAGGAAGAGGCTGGGCTCAGTTGAGGAGGAGTGGAGATTGTGGGAAGGGGAGCTGAAGCAGTGGCCACATGGCGGCAGCGGGGAGCTGGAGAGAAGCTGGAGGCAGGAACAGTTGCAGAGCTGTGTGTGGATAGGGCTGTGACTTCCAGGCATCACAGCTGGGGGCAGGGCTGTGCAGAGTTTATGGGGGAGCAGCAGCTGCTGGACAGGGAGCCAGTACAGAGGGGCCCCAGTGAGACACTAACTGAGCCTGTCCTGGAAACATGCAAACTCCTATTTGCGTGAATAGAGACTGGGCTGGAGAGGACATCCCACGCACTAAGCCTGAAGAGTCCTGACTCTCTATAGGACTGCCCCGTGGACCCAAACAAGAACTATTGTTGCTTCCTTTGAACTGTAACTGTTTAATCCTCTGTAACTAGGGTATCTGTAATCTTTCCCCTTCCTGCCAGCCCTAGGAAAATATCTTTTCCCTTAGCCATGTGTCTGAGCGGTTAGTGGGACCCATCAGGACTAAGCCTACAAGGCCTAGTTGCTGAAGTACTTATAGTGCTTGCCTTGGATCACAGTGTACCTGGCGCTAGGATAGCCAGGCATCCAGTTCTCAACTGGAACGCCCAGTCGAAAAGGGACTCTTGCAGCTCCGGTCACCACCACTGACTGGGCCATTAAAAGTCCAGTCGGTGGTGCAGTGGGGCTGTGGCAGGCTCCAAGGCTGTACTTAGGCAATAGCAGCATACGTGGCTGTGTAGGGCATCCGAAAATTTGGGGCTTAGTGACCACCCTTCTGCTTCTTCCTATCCCTGTTCTGACCCTTCCTGCAGGCTCCCACCACAGCTGGCTGCTGCAGCCTGGTGAGTCTTCTTTCAGGCCTTGGCTACACTGATGCTGTACAGTGCTGCAACTTGCTGCGCTCAGGGGTGTGAAAAAACACACCCCTGAGCGCAGCGAGTACAGCGCTGTAAAGAGCCAGTGTAATCAGTGCCTGCAGCGCTGCACGCTCGCTCGCAGTGCTGCAACCTCGGAGAGGTGGAGTACATACAGCACTGTGAGAGCTCTCTTGCAGCGCTGGCGGCACGACTACACTCGCGCTTCACAGCGCTGCTGCGGCAGCACTGTGAAGTCCTGAGTGTAGCCAAGACCTCAGAGGGGATCTAGTACTTAAAAGTGAAAAAGCCTCCCATAAATCCTAAGGATGGCCCTGGCTGCTCTGGCTCCATGCGGCGATCAGGGAAGCTCTGCGCACTGCCCCTGCCCTGAGCTCTGCCTCCGCATCTCCCATTGGCCAGGAACTGCAACCAATGGGATCCCCGGGGGTGGCACCTGCTGGCATGGAGCTACCTGGCTGCCCCTCCACCTAGGAGCTGGGCCGGACATGCCAGCTGCTTCCGGGAGCAGCGCTGAGCCAGGGCAGGCAGGGAGCCTGCCTTAGCCATGCTGCGCCGCTGCCTGGGAGCTGACTGAGGTAAACACTACCTGGCTGGAGCCCGTACCCCGAACCCTCTGCCCCAGGTCAGAACCCCCTCCCACACCCTAACCCCCTCCCTCAGGTCGGAACCCCCTCCCACACCCTAACTCCCTCCCAGAGCCTGCATCCCAACCCCCTGCCCCAGCCCTGAGCCCCCTCCCAGATCCCACACCCCACACCTCTTCCCGCACCCCAACCCCCTGTCCCAGCCCTGAGCCCTCTCCCGCATGCAAACTCCCTCCTGAAGCCCACACTCCTCCTTGCACCCCAATCCCCTGCCCCAGTCCTGAGCCCACTCCCGCACTCAGAACCTCTCGGCTCCAGCCCAGAGCCCCCTTCCGCACCCCAAGCCCCTCATCTGCACCCCCAGCCAGAGTCCTCACCCACTCCTGCACCCCAACCCCATGCCCCAGCCCAGTGAAAGTGAGTGATGGTGGGGCAAATGAGCAACAGAGGGAGGGGGGATGGAGTGAATGGGTGTGGGGCCTTGGAGAAGGGGCGGAGCCTTGGGGAAGGGGTGGGGTAGGGGACGGGGCAAGAGTGTTTGGTTTTGTGCCATTAGAAAGTTGGCAACCCTACTGCACTGCTTGGACCTTTGGGGTGTGGGTTGCTCCATTCCTGAGCAGTCCCAATAATCACATGACATGAGCTTCAGCGCCCACGTCTCACGAGCTTCCAGTGCTAGAAATACTTTTGGGGGAAAACAATACAAATGGCTTCAGCACCAGGAAACTTTCCCCTGCACTGATATTGCACTAGCGAGCAGAGAAAACGAACAAATATGGTCACTGCAGCTTAAAGATGACCTGCAAAAAGGGGGAGAAGTGGGAGCAATGGTATGTATCCTTTCTCTTTTCTTACGGTGTATGGAAAAAGCCTTGTTTTTAATCTATGCCTTTGCTTGTTGGTTTTTTCCCTCCCTGTTGACAACAGTGGTTAATGCTGGATACTCCAGAGAGAAGCATAAAACCCCTAAACACCTCATTGTATAACATTGTCCTGTAAGGATAAATTTCTTCCTAACCTCTGAAGGTGATATTATGCCCTGACCAAGAGTATTAATAGCCAGATATGCTACAGATATACCTCAATAATCCAGCCATACCCAGAAACCCCAGGAAAGCACCCAGAATAATCTAGCAGCCTCAGAGATCACACATAGGCACCCAAAAATGGCTAGAGACAGCTCAAGGTCCAATGGCACCTACAGATCCCACAGCTATCTTCAATAGCAAAACAACAGGGGACCTGAAGACAACCCAAATCCACCAGCACACAGATACTCCCCAAAATATTACTGCAAGGTCTATCAACAGCCAGACACCCCATAATGATGCCCAGAATTCCAGTGGCACTCTGGGCCCCCAGAGATATCTCCATAATTGTGTTCACTATTCACAGTGACAGAGTTAGACACATTCTGTTAATCCTGGGCTTCCACTAGGTGGAAACTTGAACATCCTCATCAGCTGTGCGAATGCTCCTTTGCTGCCTCTCATGAAAGGAGGAGGGCTTCAGGGTTTATACTCACATTAATACCATCCCAGGAGAAATCTGTCCGGGTTTGCTATGGAAGAGAAGAAAGAGAACATGTTAATATAACACATGGGTGTAGTGTGTGTGACCATGTATTTTTCTAGTGGCTGGTCCTAATGATTATAGCAGCCTGCTACTTACTCACAGATAAAGGAGTTACTCCTTTAGCTCAAGTGGTATGGTCTTGTGCTTTTGGTTCTGAAGGTCCCAGCTTCATTCCCTCCTGATCACTGTGGTGTCTGTATGTATGCGGCCATGGTTAATGACATAAGGAATTGGGAATATACAAAGAAACAGAGAGGGAAAAAGAGAGAGAGACAGACAATATATAATCCTCTGATAGGAACCCCCTGCATTCACACTGCCTTCTTTCGCTGAACATTGTACACTGGCAATGTCAGATGAATTTGTCAGGTCCTTATTTCAGGGCAGTAACAAGTGCATAACCCTCTGTGGGAGCCGCACCGCCCTTGGACTCACTCAAAGGCGAGCTAGAAAACTGGAATATTTCCACCCTTGGACTCACTCAAAGGCGAGCTAGAAAACTGGAATATTTCAGACGAAAATGGTTCTATAACAGGCTACAAAGCCATTCACTCCTGAAATGGTTAAATGCATACACACAAAGCCAATCTTCCTTCTGCAAATGAGTTCCAAGTGTCCCCTTCTGCCACTATAGTGCTAGTTCATTGAAGATCTCCTTGAGTTGCTTATCTCCTGTTTGTAGCACAACTCCCTAAAACAGGAGTTTCTGGCAGTTACACTTCACAGTTGAAGAAATGCTGAATCAAGATGCAATTCTTATATATTGTTATTTTGTAACGTGTAAAATTGTATGTGCTTTGTAAATTAACGTGGCATGGCTATTGAATAAAAAGAGCCTTGATCTTTTTGTTTAATGTGAAAGGTCTTGTGATTGCATGCTCTGGACATTACAAAACAGAAAATTCATATGTGTTAAATTACAGAAGCTGCATCATTCAAAACAAGAAATGAATCAGCTCAGGAGATACTGCCCAATAATTTAACAGCATTTAACCGTGAATACCCCCTAAAAAAATGTAACGAGAGACTAAAATGCTCTTTGTTTCCCCACAACAGTGTAGATCTGTTTTATGCCAGGGCCTTCCATCTAAGCCAGCACTCAAGCAATTCAGACTGAAATGGTTTTCAGACTCACCCTGAGCTACTTTTCATGTTCTACTCTAGGAACTGAAAATCAAAGCTTTCATTTCTGAAAATTGATGCCCCAAAGTCTCTAGTGCAAGTAAGACTTTTGTGCCTTTCCCAGCTGAGGTTGGTGACCCCAGACCCTTTATATGTATTCAGTGGGGTTGAGACTTTCCAGTCTTCTCCCCTTGGGCATAGGATGGGCACTCACCTCAGTGGAGGGTCGGTGGATGCTACTGCCATGCAATGAGCTGGTGCTGTCCATATTGATCTGGTCCACATCTTTCAGTCCCTTCCAGTCCACTGCAATCACCTCATTCCCTGCAGGGACAAAACATCCAGTCAGGATTTCTTGTTTCCGTCGCTTTAAAAAGTGCTATAAGGGGTTTTACTTCAGAGTTCAGCAAAGGCAGGAGTGTGTGTCATAGATTCATAAAGTTTAAAGCCATAACAGGCCATTAGATCATCTAGACCAGGGGTCAGCAACTTACGGCACGCGTGCCAAAGGTGGCACGCGAGCCGATTTTGCCAGGCATGCGGCTGCCAGCCAGGGTTCCGGCCGCTGGCCCTGCTCAGCCCACTGCTGGCTGAGTGAATGGAACCCCAGGCCGGAAGGAGGCTGAGCGGGGCTGGCGGCCGGGACCCCAGACCGGCGGCAGGTGTGCCCCCTGGCTCTCCCCTCACCGCACTCGGGTTCTGCGGCTCCCGGAAGTGTGAGCCGCCAGGGAGCAGGGCCTTGAGCCTGCTCCAGGAAGGCCGGCAGCGGCTCACACTCCCGGGAGCCGCAAAGCCCGAGCGCGGCGAGGGAGGAGCTGGTGGGGCACATGGGGACTGCCGCCCGCATGCATCTGCTGCAGGAGCCCCTGGGGGGAAACCGGGCTACAGCCCAGGCAGGCATGCCCCTTGGCTCCCCCTCACCGCTCTCGGGTTCCGCGGCTCCCGGGAGTGTGAGCTGCCGCTGCCGCTGCCCCTTCCGGAGCTCCCCCCATCCCGCAGCCTCAGCACTCTGCAGGGCAGGGGCTGTGCCCAGTGGCAGCTCCAGGCACCAGTACTCCAAGTGCATGCCTGGGGTGGCAAGCCGCGAGGGGCGTCCTGCCGGTCCCTGTCAGGGCAGCAGTCAGGCAGCCTTTGGCAGCATGCCTGCAGGAGGTCCGCCGGTCCCGCGGATTCGGCAGCAATTCGGTGGCGGGTACACTGAATCTGCAGGACCAGCGGACCTCCCGCAGGCATGCCGCTGAATCTGCAGGACCGGGGAACTCCCGCAGGCATGCCGCCGAAGGCAGCCTGCCTGCTGTGCTTAGGGCGGCAAAAAACTAGATCTGCCCCTGGCTGTGCCCGCGGCAGCCCAGCAGCATGTTTTGCCTCCACGTGGAGCCAGCGTCTGACCGGCATGGGCATGGTAAGGGGAGTCCCGGGGGGGGGGGCAGTCAGGGAGCAGGGGGAGGGTTGGATGGGTTGGGAGTTCTGGGGGTCCTGTCAGGGGGCGGGGAGTGGTTGGATGGGCGTGGGAGTCCTGGGTGTGTGTCTGGGGGCGGGGGTGTGGATAAGGGTTGGGGCAGTCAGGGGACAGGTAGGGGGTAGGGTGCTAGGGTGGGGGGGTCTCAGGAGGGGGCAGTCAGGGGACAAGGAACAGGGAGGCTTAGGTAGGGGGGTGGGGTTCTGGGGGGCAGTTAGGAGCAGGGGTCCCAGGAGGGGGCAGTCAGGGGACAAGGAGCAGGGGGGGTTGGGGGTTGTGAAGGGAGCAGTCTGGGGGTGGGAAGTGGGAGGGAGTGGATGGGGGTGGGGCTCTCCCCCCCATCCTCTTTTTTGATTGTTGAAATATGGTAACTCTAGGTGAGGGGGGAGCCGGGGGGCGCATGGGGGCTGGCGCCTGCATGCATCTGCTGCAGCCTACAGGAGCCTCCCGGAAGCGAGGACACCGGGCCGCAGCCTGGGCAGGAGGGGCGGGGGGCATGGCTGCTCCCCGCTAGCGTCACCGCCGCCTTTGCAGGGCTGCTGCCCCCCTGCACCGCGCCGGCTCCTCCATGGCTGGGGCTTGCTGCCGCCATAAGCGGGACGCTCTGGCTCTCCGGTGCCTCCGGAAGGCGGCTCCTCCCTGCCGAGCTGCTGCAGCGGCCCAAGCCTGGCAAAGCCAGTGAGTGGACTCAGGGGCGGGGGCCACTGGGGTGGGAGAGCTCGCGGGAGGGCTGTGCACCCTCCAGGGGAGTTTAGGGGGTGGGAAGGGGGGAACCTGATCTGGGGAATAGCCCCTGGGCATGGCTGGCCCCTGGGCATGCTGGCCCCTGGGGTCTATAAAGGCTTGTTGGGATCTGCCCCGCAATGAACCGATGTGCGGGGGGACGGGGCGCAAGGTGGAAGTTTCGCCTAAGGCACAAAATATCCTTGCACCGGCCCTGCCCCAGGAGGTGCGTGCACCCCAGGTTAAAAACCACTGCACTAAACTGATAAAATCTGCATTTTAATTTAATTTTAAATGAAACTTCTTAAACATTTTTAAAAACTTGTTTACTTTACATACAACAATAGTTTATAGACTTATAGAAAGAGACCTTCTAAAAACGTTAAAATTTATTACCGGTACGCGAAACCTTAAATTAGAGTGAATAAATGAAAACTCGGCACATCACTTCTGAAAGGTTGCCGACCCCTGATCTAGACTGACCTCTGTATATAACAGACCATTCAGTTTCATCCACTGATCCCTATATTGAGCCCAATAACTTGTGTTTGGTTAAAGCATATCTTTTAGACAGGTATCCAGCACTGATATGGGATGGAGAATCCAGTGGTTAATCACCCTCACTATTACAATTTTGTGCCTTATTTCTAATTTGAGTTTGTCTGGCTTCAACTTCCAGCCATTGGTTCTTGTTCTGTCTGTCTCTAGATTAAAGAGCCCTTCAGTACCCAGCATTTTTGACATGTGAAGGTAGTTATCAACCATAATCAAGTCACCAGTCGGTCTTCTTTTTGATAAGCTCTCTCACTGCTAAATCTATCACTGTGAGGCATTTTCTCCAGCTCTCAAATTTGTGGCTCTTCTCTGCAGCCTCTCCAATTTTCCAACATCATTTAAAAAAATGTGGCCACCAGAACTGTATATGGTATTCCAGTACTTATCTCACCAATGCCATGTACAGAGGTAAAACCACTTCTCTACCAGGGTTGGCAATTTCCAGGGAAAAACTATTTTAGGACGGGGTAAATACTAGCTTAAACCTAGGTTAAACTGCGAAAAATAATGGCATCAGTGGCCAGCAAGTTCAGCAAGCATAGAATGAATCTTTTCAAACTTTGAATACATCCATTCAAAACTGAGGAATAGGTGCGTCTATCCACTACAAAGTTGGTCTTCTGCTATAGGATGCTGCATGGCCAAGTGGACCTGGACTAGTAGTTTGCAACTCTGCATGCTTCTGATTGCTTAATGCTTCAAGCCTGCAACTCTGCATGATTGTCATTTTCATATAATCAAATGTTTTTACTTCTGTTTATATAATATTGAAAACTGAAATGAGTCATGACATGTACAACTTTCTTGAGAAAATACCGAACCAGAATGTATACAGACATTCCAATGTTCAGTATTACAATTATTTATATTAGTATTACACTCACTGCAGGTTTACATTTTATTTGTACAACTCTAAATCTACAAATCTACTGCCTTATGTCACCATCATTTGAATATGTAACTAAAACTAAGTGGAATGTAGTGTGCATTAATGAAACTGTTTTTAAAATAGAAAATGCCTTAAACTGGGACTAACTAGTTTCCCCCATGATTTTACCAGGTAAAACCCACTTCTCGTAAATACCATGCCATCTCTGCTCCCTACTCCTACTCACTACTTCCCTGTTTATACATCCAAGAATTGCATTAGTCTTTTTTTCCCACAGCATTACTGAGAGTTCATGTTCAGTTGCTTGTCCACTGTGATCCCTAAATCCTTTTCAGAGTCACTGCTTTCGAGGATATGGTCTCCCATTCTGCAGGTATGGCCAGCATTCCTTGTTCCTAGATGCATAATTTTGCATTTGGCTGTATTAAAACACATATTGCTTGAATTGGCTCAGTTTACCAAGTGATCCAGATTGCTCTGTATAAATGCCCTGCCCTCATCATTATTTACCACTCTGCTAATCATTGTGTCATCTGCAAATTTTATCAGCAATGATTTTATATTTACTTCCAGATCATCGATGAAAATTTTGAAAAGTATTGGGCTAGTACCAATGTCTATGACACCCCACTAAAAACACATGCCAATTTGATGATGATTCCCCATTGACTACTACTTTTTGAGATCTATCAGTTAGCCAGTTCTTAATCCATTTAACGTGTGCTTTGTTGATATTGTATAGTGCTGATTTTTTAATCAAAATGTACTGTGGTATTAAATCAAATGCCTTACAAAAGTCTAAGGGCTTGTCCAAGTGCAGAATAAAGAAAGGTGTGAATTTGAAGTGCAATAGCTATTCCACAGTAAGTTCCTGTGTGGACCTTCTTATTACACACTAAGGCCTGGTCTACACTACGGGTTTAGGTCGACTTTAGCAGCTTTAAATCGAATTAAGCCTGGACACGTCCACACGACGAAGCCCTTTCTTTTGACTTAAAGGGTCCTTTAAACCAGTTTCTTTACACCACCTTCGACGAGGGGATTAGCGATAAAATCGGCCTTTGCGGGTCGGAATTGGGGTAGTGTGGACGGAATTCGACA